GTTTTACTAAATTAAATTTAATTAAACGGTTTGTGGGCCAACAGCTAGCCAACATCTACCAGAAGGGTTGGCCGCATTTCTCAGATCATTTCCCGAATTGTATCTTGCAGATATATGTACTCTCTGTCTTTAGTTTCTTTCGGGGTTTTTTTTTCTTTTCTTGGCAATCAATTTCTGTGCCTCAATACAAATTTGTATTTGCCAACCCATCCACCCACTCTCCCTGCACATGTATGTATGTATATTTTTATGCGCATTTAAAAGCATTTTCCATAAATAAGAAATTATGAAAAAAAAAGGAAAACTCAAGCATAGACATCGAGTAGCCCAAACAGACGAATTAGTGAAGATTTTCACATGAAAAGCGGCGCGTAAATTGCGCGCAGACCACAGCCAGCAGATCACCAGGCCGGGGGCAGCCAGCTAAAAGGGGGGAAAATGAAAATTGTTTTATGTTTGAAGCGCCCGAAAGATTTTTCCACATAAATTACATGAAGGCACACAGACACACGACCCAGTACTGAGACGCAGACTGTTGTCATAAGTGATCAACGCGGTCGGACCTCAGGCCCAAGTTGGCCCATCTGTCCGGGTGTCCATCTGTCCGACCATATATCCATCTAGGCGTTTGTCAGTCCCTGGGAGTATCTCTAGTTTGTTGCTATATCCACTGGCACGTCAAGTGAACTGACATTAAAATGACGAAAACGCAAATCAACAGCAAACAACAAACAGCAGCCAGCACGGCCAGCGGGAAGAACTTTTTGCCTTTGGCAGAGTTTGTTGAAAAGATGGATGGATTTATGGCTCAGTTTGTTTAGGAAAGAGAGCTATTTCTTTTTTGCCTTGTGGGTGTCTGGTTCGTCAATGGTTTTTCCTCAAGAAAATGGTCTAGCTTCCGAAAGAGTCTCTGTAATTAAATCAATATTATTTTAGGCTTAATTATAGCCACTAAGTTGAATGGGCTTTGATTGTAGAACCAATAAGTGTATCAAAAGTTTAATTAAACTTCAAGACACACTTTCTGAGACAAGAGTTGGGGAAAAGAAAATAGAGCTTAACATTTGACACAAATCCCGGCAGACAAGACTCTAATCTCTTCGTGTGGTCGGGTGTCAGAGATTTCTAATTGAAAATCATTAGAAACCAAAGCACATGCAATTTACTTTCCAAGAAAAGTGGTCGGGGGGGAGAGACACATACACTTGTCAGTGGAAAAAAAAGAAAACAAACCCCGAACTAATGACAATTTTCAATGCTCCACGTGCTCCGCCACCACCACCACCACCCGCTGTGACTAATGAGCGTTGCTAACCAAGATAAGAGATCTGGCCAAATGGCAAAACGGTCTATATAATATATATATAATTTCTATATACTATATAGTGAGTAGAGCAATTGCCGTTGGGTTACCAAGAGATGTGTGGTCTAGAATAGAGATACAAATCAGATACAAATACCGCCGAGTACTTATGTCATTCATGAGAGTGTATCTCTGACGTTTGTGGCCACAGATTTCCGATTTCCGAGGATGATGATGATGATGTTGATGTTGTTGGCTGCGATGAGCAATGCCAATAGTATGCGATCGGGGGTGTATATGCGAGTAGTTTTTAAAAGGTTTGCTCTTTTGCCAAAATGATTGATTGCCGCCCAAGAAGTAGAGGTCGTCTTTATATATGTATCTCTTGGATACAAATGCATTTGTAGACTGTTTATAACTTACACATTGTTTCATTATTTTTTGGCGATGTGTGGCGATTTTGTAAAATCATTTCGCTTTCGGGTCGATTATTTTTGATGTTGAGCCACCAGCCGAGCCACTTGACTTGGACTTTTGATGTTTTTACTTGGCCTGGCCCACAGATACCAACCAAGTAGATACAAAAACAGAACCTAGGATCTGGCACTGCCACTCGCTCTTGTCGCTCACTGATCTGCAGCATTTAATTTCCAATGTTTTTGTTGCTCTTGTGGCTTCTATAGCGCGATGTAGCCTGCTGTTGCTGTTTTAATTAAATTTCGCAATGCAAACGTTGAAGAAAACATTTTGTAAATTGCATTTTATGTGCCATTTTTGTTCGACTTGTGTTGCCTCTTGAAAAAAAAAAATGAATAAAAGCGGGGTGACGGACGTGTACTGGGTTGGCTAAAATGCCCCGGAGTGCAGCCGCAACCCGGCAGCCCGTCTGCTGCCAGAATACAGTGCATCTAATTGCGAGTAACAAATGCCGCCTCATGTTGCTGTCGCCAGACATTTTCCCCCAAAAAAAGATGATGAAGGGCACCAGCATATGTGGCTGCCAGGGAGATGGACAGTTCTGGGACTATTTTGGTGGGGTTTTTCTTCCTCTAAATTCCCTTTGTTTGGCTTTGATTAGAAGAGCTATACCTAGGCCATCAGGCAAATAGCAACTCCTGGCGAGGACATACCTTCAATTGTCTGCCGAATGGGCCAAGGAAGACAGACGACAAACTCTATGTCTGATTGCGATTCCGATTCTGGCTATATTTCTTAGCTATTTTTACTGGCGCGATTCTTTATCTGAGATTCTGCAACTTGCAGTTCATTGCGATTGCCATTTCTTCATCTTCATTTTCATGACGGCGACAGCAGCGACGCATCGCGTATCTTTCTTTATTTTTTTTCGTTTTTGTGGGTTGGGGTTTTCTTGGCAAACGCCTTTATATTGTACACTTGTATCTGTATCTGTAGTATCTGTATATCTGTCGGATGTCGGATGTCGCTGGCTGAGGTTGCACTTTATAGCATCTATAGGAGCTATGGCTTGATCGACTGAGTGCAAATTTCTTAAAGCAAAAATTTATTTGTGATTTGCAATTCGCAATTTGCATGGACCGTCGTCATTCGTTGTTGTAGTTTGCTTTCTTTTTTTTGTTTTTGTGTTTTTGGTGTTCAGTCAGTCGTTGCATCCTTAGTGAAATTTTGTGGGTAATTCATCTTCATTTCGTTGCGGTTCGAGCTGAAATGCAGTGCGGTATGCAGCCGCGACACTGCAACACCGCTGCTGCACCACTGCACCACAGCACCACCATACCAATGCCTCACACCAGCACCTCACAGTCTGTGGCTGTGGGCTATTTTCAATTCCTTCGCCGCTGTGCTAAAAATGTTTCAAATGTTTTTACCCAAAAATAAAGAGAAATCGGGAAACAAATCGAAAGAAAAATACACAAAATCAACATCAACCCAAAGGCATCAACCGCAACTTGTGCACTTCTATAGGCAGTTCTCGATATGCACTTAAATCCAAATCCCAAATCCGAAATCCTCACAAAGAAAACCAACACGAAAAACGACCATTCATCTAGCCATCCATCCATCAATCATTTTAGTAACACTTTTTGTTGTTTTTGTGTAATTTAATCAACAGTTTCCATTGCTGCGGGATTTTCTTACTTCTCTGAGGGTGGCTGCCGGCGGGAAAGCCTGAAAGAAAAACCCCCAGGAAAACTGAGAGTGAGAGATGGGTGAGAGCTGGGAAAAAGAATGAAAAATGTTGATGATGGTGTATTATTATTAAAGGCAAATTTGACAGAAAACAAATGTTTCCTCCTGCCGGCAGCTCAACGTTCTTAGTTTTCTTTTTCACGTTTTTTTTTCTCGGATTTTCAAACAAATCGCCTCCTCATATGCTTCAAAGTTGTTGAAATTTGAATTAACCCTTGGTTGAGGCAAGGACTCCGGCTCCTGTCGGCTTGCCTGTGGCACAAAGTATAGGATTACCATGTCCTCTTGTCTGGTAAGCCGCAGATAATGAATTCGTCAAATGATCAATCGATTTTGGGGATATAATTGGGTATTAAATGGCAAAGAAATTCTAAAGAAATTGTTCAAATATGGATAAGCCAGGGGCACCTTTTCTGGCTGGCTGGCTGGCTGGCTGGCATTTTTCCACTCAATTGCAGTAATATCTTGCTAAGGTCAGCAGTTGTTTGACTTTATGTTTACATATTTGTATTTATTATACGGCTACAGACCTCTCTAGCCGCACAAGCTTCTAAAAATACGTCACAAAAGCGAACCATTAACCTAATTGCAAAAGTCAGGCAATGAAAACAAAAGGTAGCAACAGGCAGTACTACTTACATATAATGTATATATATATGTATGTATAAAAAAAATAGGGTTAAGTGCAGGGAGTGAGTAGATTGCACTCCGGGTCATATCTTCTCAAAGACCGACGACTGCATCATCAACAAAAATGAAATGTTTAATGCAAGAAAACGCGAGCAATTGAATAATTGAAGCGAATAATTGGAAACTCAGGTAAAAGTTAATTAACTTCAATAGTAATTAGTTAGCGAATGGCTGACAACAGGGAGACAGACAAGAACCAAGTAATTAAAGCTAGAACTAATGGATAGAAAAATGTTCGCTTAGTGATAATGATTTATTTAAGATTTAAGCAATTAGTACTGAAATCAACGGCATTTTGGTGTCAAGACCAAAAGCACACCACCTGTCAAAGTGCGCCAAAATATTCGCTAGATTGCACCAACCCCTTACCCCTTTTTGCTGCCAATGATTGACATTCGAACGTGACATGAACACGGTCCACCTAAATTCCGTAATTTATTTAGAAATATTCGAGTTTTTGCCGCCAAAACAAAACGGAAATTATGTTAGCCATTGCCTGCAGCCAAAAAATATATACATAGTACTGCTCTGGCCGTCTTTCCACAATATTTAACATTGAGATTGCATGAGTATATATGTATCCCCATGACAGCGTCAATTAGAGACTAGAGAATGGGCTATTGCATTGCTCTAAATTATGCCATTAGTGTAGAAAATCAATTGGTTTGAGGTTTATGTAAGAAAAGCTGTCAATAAACTAGAAGCTGATTAAGGAAGTTTCAGGTTATACTTCTCTTTCAAATAAACACAAAAACATGATAGATACTCCCTTGAAAACTTAACTATTTAATGCCCGATACTTATGCCTAAATATATGTTTATGTACATATTTTTACAGTCCACACAACAACAGAACCAGCAGCAAGCACTTATGAACAAGTCAAATGACGACCTACGGAGAAAGCGTCCCGAGACTACACGGCCAAATCACATTCTACTCTTCACCATCATAAATCCCTTCTATCCCATCACAGTTGTAAGTACACAGAGAACTATACCATATAGTATATATAAGTGTTTGTGTATATCTGTATTTTACTCTTTCTCTTCACAGCAGTAGTAGCCATCCTCCATACATACATTATATATTATACGAAGATATATCCTTATCCTAGCTACTTAGTATGGGGGAAATATAATATGTGTGAGAGTTTTCGGAGAAAATAAAATAAAATCCATTGCAATTTGTTTTGTCGAAGAAACTTGTCACACACTCGAGCGGAGTTTTTCAACAGGCTGGTAGTGGTAGGGATATGAAAACAGTTATTTGCCACACTGTCGCCTCTGGGAGGAAATGTGGTTTTTTGTTGCCTGCCACAAGGCGCTTAGGCTTCAGACGAGAGTGTTGATTGCATCTCAGCTGGCTACCTCGCCGCCACCCCACTGGCTTTGTGGGTATTGCTACTGGGTCTAGGGTCTTATCACAACATTTGATACTTTTTAGCTACAAAATGTCCAGAAAGTGTGAGAGGAGCTCTTGGCTCAAAGTGCGCATTGTTAGGTATGCAACAACCTGCAACGTCAACAGCAGCAATTATAGGACTAGGATGGGGGCAGGACACAACACAATACAACTACAAAACGACAGAAGAAAGTAAAAAAATGCATAAAGTCCTTAAAAAACAGAGAGATCTATTCTTACTCTTAAATTTAAATTTTATTAAGTTTCTAAGCTTTCACTATTTGTTTCGAAACCCAAACAGAAAAATAATGATTGTTTTTTGAAATGTAGTTCAAGAAGCTCTTTGCTTTAGAGCCTTTCCCAACCCAGTTAACCGACACAGTCATTGTTGTCCTATATCCTGGCTATATGTATATAGGGTAGACACCAGCATCACACTCTCACACCTCGCACAGTTTATTGTCTTTTTTTTTTTTTAGCAAAAAGCTGTGCAACAAAGCCAAAGAAAACAAAAATGCGGAAATGTTTACCTCTCTCTTTCTGGACGTATGTAGCCCTCTCTGTCTCCGTGTCTGCCCAGGCAATTGTATTTTCCAACACTTGAGCCAAGTGCGAGCATAAAATCCTGTGAAGTGGAAAACATGCAGTATAAAAACTACAAAACTGAAAATTATTTGGGGCCCCAGCCCAGTATCCTCATCCTTCATGTGCATCTGTAAAGGATGTGTGTGTATATATTTGTTTATGTATGGGTATAAAGCCAGACATGTTAATTCGCGTCCGACAAAATGGCTGCCGGCGGCTGTATGTCCTGGTGCAGCAGCAGGATATTCCGTGCTGACTGAATGACTTTTCGCAGGTTCCATTGTCGTAAAGTCCGACTGACTGGATTTATATACGCCGTTTCGTAGCTCTCAGGCTCCTGCTCCTGCTCCTCCTTCTGGCCTGGTCGGAATATAAATCCTTTCTGTTGACTTAAGTCATCGCCACGGAGCACTCCTCCAGCTGGCATGTCCTGGAATTAAGCAATTCCCTTTACAATGCAGTTGTTTCTCCGTTTCTCGTTATGGGATCGTACAAATTAAAAGCCTCTTGAAAAAAAATATCTTATTGAGCTGCAGTATGGTAGTCCGATTGTTAATAAAGCCCGGCTTAAGTGCATTTCCTGCCAAGTGCCAGGATATGATTTACAAGCGGGATAATGAAACCCGACCCGTGATCTGTTGACAACTGAGGGGCTTAAAGCAAAGCTGCATCCATCAATTATCTGGCACTTTGGCTGAGAATTTTAAACTGAATTTATATGCTCTTCTGGCAAATGCAATTGCCTCCGAAAAGAGACTCGAACGAAAAGAAAACTGTGAAAACTCCGGGAAAGAAACTTGGGCCGGGCACGTTCCTCCTCGAGCAACGCTCCATCATACGCTCCAACTGGCTTTGGCTTAACTAATCGCAAACTAAACGACCTCTAATAGCAGCCGGAACTTTTGTCAACAATGCAGACTACACTGCCTCCTTCCGACTGCCGACTGCCTTGTGCCACACACTCCCCTCATATGACCCAGAAGCCTGGAAACTTTTGTGGAACTATGTGCTCCTCTCATTTCCGCAGCTTCCAAAAACGACGAGCAGTAGTTGGATGGAGATGGAGATGGATGCCGCTTATCCGCATGGAACAAAAAGCTTTTCGGGATAAGATTAAAAACTTTTTAATAAGAAGACACTAAAAGCATCAAAGGAAATTTGCTTTTGCATGCATATGTGCTGGCAAAATGCTAGCATGATACGAGAATGATAAAGTTTAGCCAACCAAGGGGTTAAAGTTGAAGAGGCCAGCCACCCAGCCACCAAGCCAGCTCGGTTTTTGGCCCAAAAAAAAAAATGCAATAAAAGTTGGTACGTAGACGGGTATTAGCTGACACCAGCGGAGGGCAACAATGTTCAATAATGTATTAGCTTGAAGGCCAGCAGGCGTGGTAGTCAGGCAGCCACAATGCAAATGCAACCAGCCAGCCCTGCCATCCAGATATCCAGCCCTACCTCCCAGTGGAGGTGGCAGCTGCTGTTGCCTGGCTGGCATATGTAAACCCTCTTTGAAGCGGCTTATCAGAGCGCTGTTCGACTTTGTTGGTAAGGAGCAGAAAAAAATATATATATATCTACATATAGGAAGCAAAAAAAGCAGTCTGCCATAAGCTAAAGCCCAGGAATGTGTAGCGGCAGCTGCAGCCTTTGCAATATGGGTGACACATGCTAGAACGGGCTATGGAAACCAGCAGACCATAATGCGTAGGTGGGTGGTTGGGCGGTTGGGAGGACATGCACTTGGTGGTGCAACGAAGGACATGCGGTGACGGCAAAAGCCGAAGCCGAAGCCTCAGCCAAAGCCATAGCCAAAGCCAAAGCGAAAGCCATAGACCTAAACCAAAACCAAGCCCTGGAAAAGCCAAGCCCTCTGCATCCTCTAAGGCCCAGGAGGGAGCCAGAAAGGATGCGGCAAGCAGGAGCAGGAAGAGCAGCAGGACGGCGGTAGCTCATGGCAACTGAGGTTTTCAATAATGCACGTTGTACGGCTCCCATGCCGCGTATTGTATTGCATTTTGTTTATGCATGCGCCCATCAAAGAAGGCAAAGATTTCCAGCAAATGGAACTTGCAGAGAAAAAAAAAGGATAAAGGATACACCGAGAGAAACTAAATAGTATTATGAGGAAATGTGGAGATGAAGCTCTAGTATTTTCTTCCAGTTTCTGAAAAAACAAAAGGATTCGATCCCCTGGCGCGAATCTTTGACAAATCGATGAGGCGGTTGCCTTTAACGGAGTTATCCTTTATCTGTTTCATATCCCCATTATCCACACCCACCCAGCATCACCTAGCCATCCTGGCCATCGCTGTTTTTTATTTCCTTTTATGTTCACCGCCATCGGTGACATAAAATTCGGCTTTATGGGAATATGCAAAAAAAAACGAACAATAGATTACGATGTGCTAGGCCTCCTCTATCGAATGAAACTCCCTATCTTTTTACAAAAGATACAAATACCTGGTTGTTTTCTATTTCAAACGAACCTTGTTGGCTAGGCCAGCTAGACAGTAACAACAAGGAGTGGTCCCTGGACTAGGACTAGGAGCAGCAACTGCTGTCATTGCTGAGAATGCTGTACAGAAGATCGGGGAAGCACTTGATGTCGTTCTTGGTCAAGTGACCGTTTTCGTACATCTTCGAGAAGATCTGCAAGAGGGAGAGAGGTTAGCAAGGATGTGGCTCTAGAGAGGATTAGCTATGTACCAGTTCCCTGAGATGGGTTTCAGCGATGTGGCTGGCACGCTCCCGTCGCCAGTTCTGATGCTGCACCATTTCTGATTCGGTTATCGTCCCAGCTGTCCAATTCGAGGATGGTACTCGGCTGAGTTTCACCGAGCTGGGGGTTATCTGCTCCTTGGACTTGGCCTCCAGGCTGGCGTTGGTCGACTTGGCCTTTCGTTTCTTCCTCGATCCTTTGGCCTTGGGCTTGCCTTTGCCGATGCTCCTTTGGACTTTGACACTCGACTGGCTGGCTGTGGGCTCGATGGCGATCAGCCCGCCCTCCAGTCGCCTCTTCTTGGAGTGCTGTTCCAGGAACTTTGCATCCTTCTGGGCCTCTATCTCTAGCATCCGCTGCTGCCGGACCCTCTGGCTGACATGGCGGTGTTTCTGCCGCCGGTGGCCTCCCTTGACGAGGCTGGTGCTGCGCTTCGGCGAGTACTTCCGGCGCTTCTCGCGGCGCAGACTCTGCCAGATGCCGAGCCTCTCCTTAGCGCAGGTGGGGGCCAGTAGCTGCTCCTTCTGGCGTTGGATTTCGCGGGCGATGATGGCCCGATGCTTCTTTGCCTGGGCCTCCACCTCCTCGCGGCGTCGCTTGATCTGCTGGATGACGGGATTCACGGGGAGGACCTCCACCGGCTCGCCCGGCCACCGGAAACGCTTCTGAGCCAGAACCTGCTGCTGCTCCATCCGCAGCTGCTGCTCGCGCTGGTGGCGTTGCATGGCCTGGTGGTTGAGCTCCTCGCGCCGCCGACTGGACACCGTGTCGGCGAACATGGGCTGCTTGCTCTGCTCGTAGAACTTGCAATAGTAGTTGACCTTCTCGGAGTCGCGCGGCGGCATGATGCGCCGATAGTTGCCCAGGTGGCTCTCCTCCCAGGCGATCTGCTGAGTGAGTGCCCCGATGGAACAGGTCTGGCGCACTTCACTGCCACCGGCCTCCCTCACTGGCGAAGATGCTCCGCCCATCTGTTGGCTGTTGGGCATCCGCTTGCTGTAGATGTTCCTCAACAGCCTGGCTCTGTGTTCGATTCGATCGTCGCGTATGATCTGCTCCTTGTCCACCAGAGCCGTGCTCAGCAGGTTCAAGGTGTCCCGGATGAGGGGCCGTTTCACCTCCATGTCCACTGATTCGTCGGCACTCAGGCTGGGCGTGTGGTTGACCTCCAGAATGTAGGGCTTGAGCTTCCAGTCGACGAGAATGTCGAAGCCCAGCAACTGGAAGCTGGCCTGAATCTTGTCGTGCTTGGGAAAGCAGACGTTGTAGTTGTGCTTCAGCACCGGCCAAGCACTGATCACCGTCTTGATGATGGCATCGTCCACACTGGCCCAGAACTCGGCCACGTCGTAGTTGTGCTCCACGAGCCACTTGTTGAAGGCGCTCAGCTTCCGCTTGGAGCCGACTTCCGTGTTGCTCCCCACCATGTACTGAGAGTTGCGGCGATTCAGACAGTAGTTGGTCAGGTGCATGTACACGTTGCTGCTGTTGCCCAGGGTCGGTGGCACGTACTTGTGGGTGGCGAACCGAGCCAGGCCCTCGTTGTAGACGAATATCCTCAGTGGATCCACAGAGGTGACCAGGGTGTAGACCCGCAGATCGAACTTGTAGCCATCGATGAGCAGGGGCTAAGACAGGGTAACTATTAGCCTTGACTCAAGGACTATCTCCTTTAGACTCACCCTTTCTATGTAGGTCTGGCATATAAGCTTTTCACGCTTGCCAACGCTCCTCAGATCGGTGGTTATCCAAATGCCACGACCCTGTCCCGCCGAATAGGGTTTGAGGATAAAGGTGCGCTTATGCTTGCTGGCATAGATAGCCACATCATAGGCACTGTTACAGATTAGAATAATGGTTAGTAATATAACTGATATCTTAGTCTTTGGTACTCACTCTGTTGGCATTAGCCAGGTCTTTGGAAAGATACGATAGTCTCCCGGAAAAAGCTTCAGCATGCGATTCAGATTTCGGGAAAGCAGATCCTTGCGGCAGATCTCTACCATGCCGGGGAAGTGATTGATTTGCTGGAAGCGCTTCATGCCACGCAGGAGATCGTGATGTGGCGTGGAATCCGACCATTGGATGTTCCAGAGTCGGTGTTCGGGCACGTGCTGGAAGCCCATGTTGCGGGTCACCTTGGCCACCAGCTGGAATCGAGTGTTCTCCACGCAGATGCTCAGTCGGAGACCCCGGATGCTGGGCACTATATCGGTGCCCTCCAGGTGGACCTGCTGATGGGGCTCCTTCATGACATCGTAGCAGATGGCATCTAACTGCGAGGCGGTCAGGGTCGGCTTCTCCTTCTGATGCTGGGTGTAGTCCTGGGTAACGACCATGTAGTGGTCGGTATCGTTGCCGCCGCGGGTGCGACGCCACATGGGCAGATGGCTGTCGCGAACAGGACGCCGCTTGTTCGGCGACTTCTTCGTCGACAGGACATAGACGCTCTCCTGGTGGTAGAGGCCCGGTGGCCTCAGGACACTCCTGTCGGGCGGCAGCGACTTCTTGGCATCGAAAAAACGGGTATACTGATTAAGCTGGAGCTTGGCGGGTGCTTTGGGGGCTTTCTTGGAAGGCATATGGAGAGGGAAGGCTGATTCTTGCGGGGCTGGTCGCTCTTCAATTTGTCATTTACGGAATACAGATTATGGAGTACACATGAAATTTTGACAGTCTCGTATTTCTAAGTTTCTATTGAGTGCGACAGGAAAACAACAACATTCGACAGGTTGCTCATCATGATTCATGAGTCGCACAAACTTGGCGGCCTTTCCAGCCACCCACACGGCAAGGTCAAGTGCTGCGGGTGACACCTGAGCTGCCAGTGCCGCCACTCGATTACCAAAGTCAAAGCCGCCACTGACAGAGTACCGCGAATAAAACTTGTGTAACTTGTGGTTAGCCAAAAACACCTTGCGACATCTGAAACGATCCGGGTGGTGCACATCACCTGTACCTCCCATCCTCGAGCTCCCAGCTGCCGCTTTTCAGATTAATTTCCATGCATGGTGCCCCCGGGGGCGGGGCTCATTAACCGCAGTTTAATCAGGCTTTAGGCTCATGCGGTTATTAGTTCAGCCAGTCAATGTCAAGAACCATAGTGATACGACAGAAAAACAAGAAAGAGTGACGGCAAAATTACCTGTGACAACCGACATAGTTTGGATGTGAATGTGGGTTTTGTCATACGCTTGGTTAACCCTCAGGGGCCAGCAGGGGTCTCTACCATGTGAGTGGTGTTAAGAGGGCGTGGCGTGATAGGTCACCTCTCGACTCTTAAATCACAGCTTTTATAGTTCTTTTTTGTGCCAAAATGGGAGTATAGTTCAAAGTGGTCACTTTGATTATTTAAAACCAATTATGGAGCTGCATAGGGAACTGCTATCATATTAAATGGTATAGGGCTTTTGGGGCCTGGGATTCGGCAGCGAACCATGTAATTTGTCAGGTTTATTTGGTTGAGTAACGTTTTTGGGCCGACTTGTGTATCTGTATCTGTATCTTTCCAGCTCTTCTCTTTTTCCCTAATTGGCTGGCCAAGTTAAATTGTTGTTTTTTTGTTTTTATTTATTTTTTTTGTTTTTGTGCAGCTAATTATGCGCCCGCTTTGTCGCTAGAGATTGTAAACAAAAAACAAGAGGGAAAAGTGTTGGCAACTTTTCTGCATTTCAAATATTAATGATAGTGCACGAACCGGCAACCGGGTGAAAGAGATGGCTATGCAGAAATAGAAAGAGGTAGAACCATTTCTGTTGACAGAACAGGAGCGTTGATAAGCGAAAGAGAAATGAGCGGAAAAGCGCGATTAATGTTGTTTTCATTCAACATGGGGGGACTGGATGGAAAACAGTTTTTATTTCACATTCCGTATTTATTTCGTAATTTATTTTTTTGCACCTATCCTAGAGTCGGGGATGTTTAATCCTTTTGATTTCTATAAATTATTACCCATCAATAAATCTCAATGTTGTTTTGTCAACAAAAATATCGGGAAAATAATAAATTATTCCTACTGATTGAATATTTCACACTTTTATATTTGTCTGGAGCCGGTGGAACGAATTAATTTTTATTTGTATATACATAGCTGTCCTATTTAATTATTAAGTCCTGGAAGGAGGACAGGAAGCGAAACACGAAACAAGTGTAAAATCAGGCGGAGGACACCAGGCAGGCAGGCAGGCAGGACACCAGGCGGAGTGCATTAAAAATTTAAAGGTGTGCTCGCACACACACTCACACTCACTCACTGATTTCATTTGCAGTTGCACTAAAAAAACAACCAGAAAATGTATATAAAAGCCCGTAGCATAATAATAAAAAATTAAACAAAAGAAAATAAAGGAGTGGCGGCGGAGGAGCACGGAAGGATATGATTCATAAACCAGCCAGATGACTACGATGATGATGATGATGATGAAAAACCCGAGAGCTCCGGATAAAAACTACAATGTATGAAAATGTGTTAGCCTGTGTGTTATCCTGTGTGTGGGTGTGTGTGTGTGTGTGCTAATTTCACAGATCCTTTTATTTTTTATGGGGCGCCGCAGTCGCATTTTGACTAAGCGCGCATTAAAAATTAATCTTTTAATTACCGCCTGGCAGAGGGAGCCCTCTCGATTTAAAGTATATCGCAGGATGTTTTCAGTGCAGCGGCTTTTTGGCTTTCTTCCCTCAACTAAGTTGGGAGAAAGTTTTATAAGTCTCCGAGAATAATAACAACATCATCGTCATCATCAATGTCAAGAAAGAAAGAAAGCACTCTCTCTCTATTTTTAATTCCTTTATGAAAAAAGTTTTCATAGCATATTTTCCAGCTCTGCCACTTGTGGACATTTCTGGCCAAACTCCCTTTTTAATTGCTTTCAATTGACCCCCAGGAAAGAAATGCGCCAACTTGCCACATAAACCTAATGTCCTTCCGGCCAGAGCCTTCTCGCCCACACACACTTGAATTCAATTTACATTTTGTCGCATTAACATTTTTGGGGTTTTTAATGCCGAAACTTTTCCAGGGTGCTGCTGCTCCTGCAATTTCGTGTTAAAAGCTTTCTCAATGCCAAACTTTTCAATGAGAGTATGAACGTTTATTACTAGAACTAAATCCTGTTTAATGTGTCGACCTCCCCCACAACCTCCTCGCAGAGAAAAAGAATAAAGTTTCTATCTGGGGTTTTAGTGAGAGCATGATTTGGAATTTTAAACAAGGAATCAAAGGCTCCTGGCTCCTGATTGTGATTTATCATTTCGTTCGGGGATATGTTTGTAAATCCCGAGGATTAGATAGACTCTGAAACGTGATTAACATGGCACTCGCTGGTCGGTCGGTCGGTTGTTGCATAAATATTTGGGTGTCATTTGGAATTCTATGTTTGATTTATATATGCAGGTCATACAAATCTATCTATGCATACTCTGCTCTATTTGAGCTGCGATTCCCTCGTAATTATGCATGAATCGTGAAATCAACTGCATTGGGGGCGTGGATCCCTGTTTTATTTTTGGGGTCTTTTGGGGGCAGGAGAGTACTCCAAAAAAGTGGAACTGAGACTGCCAGCAACGCATGAATGAACGCTCTCCACCGAACAATGTATGCGCATAAATTTCAACACTTGGCTCGCCCTGTGAGACGCAATGAAAATGTTGAAATGTTAAAATGCTCGCACGTACAAATAAGAAAGAAAAAAAAAATTAGAAAAAGTTATTTGTAATGCAAAACAAAACAAAATCAACAACAGCTATGGCGCAAACGTGGCTACCGAAAACAGAAACCAGAAATAGCAAAAAAAACTAAACTGAAATATAAAACAACAGCAGCTGGCAAAGCAAATAGTTGGGAAGTGGATGTGGAAGTGGAAGAGGCTTTTTCTGTTGCAGTCCTGATGCAGTTTATACAGAGAGCAGCATAAACAACAAATGCATTTGTAATGAAAATAAAATTTAACGTCGCACAAACACAAACACAACCAAGGACATGCCCAAGTGGAAGACGCTGCAAAGTATGCAACAGTTTCGGCCTAGTGCACTTACGGCTCTTGGCCAACTTAAAAAAAAAAAAGGCCAAAAAAGGCAGTAAAAATGGCAGAAAAAGACATTCGCCAAAGGCTTCTAGATTTGTACAAGGTTTTTCGGTTTGTACACTGTTACAAAAACACTGTGCGCCAAGCTCAACTCTATCCTATTTTAAGGCACAGTTATTAATCTTTGTCAGTTGCCCCATCGTTTATACGATGTGTTGCATGATGTATGACAAGCCGGCAACAAATTGCTGCAAAAAAATAAAATGGCCACCAAGAAATGTGACACCTCCTGGCCACTTGTCAATGTCATAATTTGCCATAATATGTGGAGGGGCAGAGAAGGCACAGCCGACAGGACATTAAGAGACAGGCAGGCAGGCTGGCTGGGAGGCAGGACTATGAGAGATGGAGATGAACTGGCGCGCGGGACAGGCACATCAAAAGTTGTGGATGTCGATGTCGAGATGCTGATGCTCTGATGCTGATGCTGATGGTGATGCCTTTTAGCCCGAGGTCGTGGTCGAAAGGGTCCTTCTGCCATCCATAGATGGTCTCGTTTTGTGGGGCGTTGCCTTGTGGGTTGTGTGGATTGTAGTTTCCACTAGAACTCCTGTCCTCCTGCTGCTATGTCCTTGGCTCCTCCGACGAGCACTGTCAACATTAACACAGCCCCAAGGCATAAAAGGCATATCCAATTGCAAAAAGACGCATGCCGATAACAAAGGCTCGGCAAACATTCAACTAACATTAGTGCCACGCCCTGGCCACTGCCACTGCCTCAGCCGTTGTGCCCCAGCCCTACTGCCCATAGACATGCACATATAAGGACACGTGTCAGTGTGCTGTGCTCTGGGTCTGACTCTGGCTCTGCTCTCCTTGTCGTCTGGTATCCTGGTGCTCTCGTTTGCTGTCTATTTTACTTGGTCATTAAATTTGGATTTTGTGCTCTGCCAGCGCTTGACTTTGCTGTTAAATATATCTACACAAACACTTCCCTTTTCCACCGAAGGATCTACATCTCTTTAGTGGCCTTTTGAGCGGCTCCGTTGGCCCATCACTCCAGCCTCCCACCCTCACTGCCACATCCTCTGGCCCTAAGCCTCGTTTTGGCTTTAACTTGCCGCCATTGTTGGCCAGGATTTTGCATATACACACACATACTGGCTGGTAAAGGTGGAGCATATCCTTGTTGGCTCTGCCAGGGATAGGGTTTACTGTATGCCTGTTTTTGTTTTCCTTTCGGTTTTGAGTGCTTTGTGGTTGAACATTTTTCCAACATTGCATAGCAATTGCAACAAGGCTCTAAGGGCTTAATACTTTGGCTTTGATATTGAGTGCATAGTGCAAGATGTCTCGTTTAGGCTAAGCCGCCATGGCAAAGGGTCGGGTAGTTTCCAATCACATTACTTTTAATCAACCTTTTACTAATAACCCTTATTTATTCTTTTCGTTTCAGGTAAGTTCCAATAACCCGTTGACGTGGTGTTAACGAACCAAAAAAAATATCTAGAGTGCGTGAGTTCTACATATAAGCATTTATGTTGGCTAAACACGGCAGTTTATTTAGTTCGTACTTGAGGAAATTGCGTTATGGCATTTCCTCTAAACATGCACACTAAAATAACACACAACTGGGCCGTATTAAACCATCAAATAAAGATCAGGATATAAACTGCGCCTCATCATCGTTGCTTCTCCAATAAATCACTAGAGAATCTCAAACACACACACACACTCCTTAGGGGGCCCAGCAATCAAAAAAGTTTCTTCCCCTATAAGGGAAAGTTGCATCGTAATTCCCACGATAATAATCATAATAAAAATCAAGCAGGCGATAAAGCATAAAACCAAATTACACACTACTTTTTGGCCTTCTTTTGGAGGCAAGATGGCGAACAGGACCTCGGAACCAAACACTTGACTTTCCACCTCAATCGCACTTCGATGCTTCCGCTTCTAGTTGACGCTATTGTTGTTGCTGTTCTGCTGCTTGTTGGCGGTACTTCACCCAGAAAACTTCCAGAAAAACCCTCAAGAAATTCGGCCACTAAAATATATGTTTATTTTTTTTGTGTGTTGGACCTGGTATGGCAGAAGGGAGACTTCCAGACATTTTATGGAGCACGTAACGGACATTTTTTTGTGGGTTATTTTCGTTTTGAAAAGTTTTCTCATAATGCTCCGCCAGCGCGAAGGGCTTATGTAATACTCGTATCATCGGACTGCATCTGAATATCAGCACGTATTGGGGTTAAAGTAATGCCCTTCCCCAGCAGCGATCTGGGCGGAGTTTAGATTTATGAACGTTCTCGGCGGAAAAGCTAAATTCATTAAGTTGTCAACTGCAAGTCAACACAATCCTAGAAATTCAGACATGCAAATGGCAGGGCTTTGAAAAAAAATTCCAAGAAAAATGAAGAATTACACTGTACTTTCAGGGCCAACGCCTAAAAAGCAACTAAATATTCAGTTTATTATCCAGCGCTCACATTTGTGCTTTGGAATACAGTAGCCCATATCGCTGCCCTTCCTCAACCAGCCGTCGGGACAGGCGCAGCCTGCTTCACACTTCTTGGGACTGCATCGGTTTTTGTACAAATAATCCGAACAGATTTTGGGACAAACTGGTTTGCACTTCATCCAAATATCATTATGAATACAAGCTAAGAGGAGGGATTATACATAAAAAGGATAAGATAGGTTAAAATATGCTCAGACCTGTTATGAGTGGCAAGTGACTCGCAAAGGACTCGCTGATTGCTGAAAGTATAACCAAGAAAAGTAGCCTCAGAAACATCATAGATATTTAACTCTACTGTAGCTTGATTTTTTGCACATTCTGTTTAATTATACCATTTAAAACTGATTCGTTTTACTAAATTTAATGCCACTTTGATAAATGAATAAGTCCCGAAAGCCTACCCACATCACCGCTAAGCCTCTTAGCCCCAGTCCGCAGCTCTGTCACAAAATGAACTGGAAAATTTCGAGGTCTCTGGATAATTGCCACAAAAAACAAAAAAAAAAAACCAGAAAAAAAATGGGAAAAAGTGCAGCTTAAAATTGAAAGCTCGGCCAAAAGGGTAAACATTTTAATTCTGCTAATTGAAGCGTTGAAATCTATTGGCCGAATAACGCAATCAAATGAAAATCCAAAACTAATAAACGGTTCAACACGGCGTATGCGCAATCTGAACTGTATGCCTGGCTCGGCATGTGTGTGTGGTCTGCCATATTGATTTGGAATATATAATTTTTTGTTCAGTGTAATTAACTAGCAACGGGCGCATAATTACAATTTTGAAATTGTACACCGAGTGTGGCATGAACATATTTTTTTTTTTTGTGGAAGAAAGGTGCATTGTGCTGCAATGGCTCACATGTCAGCATAGCTGGCCGTGGGGCAGGGTGAAGGAGGGTTATTTGATATGGATGGCAATGTTGGTGGTGGCAGGGCCCATAGACAATGGATAATAGATGCTGGTCATCGTTTGTTGGCTCGGCCGCCCAGCGATCATCATCGTCATCATTAGCATCGCGAGCTATTTGCGGTTTTAATTATGCCTCGGCCCCAAAACAATGCAAAGTGGGAGAATGCGGCGGCCAGCAGGCGCTGCCAAATGGAATGCATCCCGGCCATTGTAGTTGCGATTGAAATAAATGATGCGAAATGGTACCACTGGTGCATATGTGCGGAGGCCTGCTCCTGGCAGCAGCATCATCAGCATCAGCAGCAACATCGAATCAGCCTTAATTTTTGGACAACAGTTTCAAAGTCGCATATGGGCGGAAAATAAATCGATATGCAAAGCTACCAAGGGCAGGGTATGGGCCGTGATTAATGGAAAATGGTAGAAGGAGGCGACTGTTAGCCTCTGGCCATATGCAGAACGTTCGCTGATTGATAAACCAAATGTCAAGCAGAGCGTATAAATCGTAGCTATGCGCAGATGCATCACAATGGAAACTATATATATTGCAAGCCCTGTTGGCCACTGGTATTAATGCTATCAGACATGATCTGACTAGGTTGTAGCCCCAAAATGTATAGCAGTACATCAGTTAGTGAGGCAAGAGGGGGCTTAAAGTGTCACCCTCACCTTAAAACCCAGAAAATCCACACGTGCATGCCACATAACAGAATGGGGCAACTTAATGCTAATACCGAGCCAGGCCTCTGAAAAATTAATGCCCACTAATAATTCAAGAGGTCTGCTTGCTGGCTAGGGCCCAAAAGTAAAGTATACTTAAATAATCTAACGCACAATTAATTGAAGGTGCCATAAATATTGCGTATACGCACCGTAAATCAAGCAAGATGGCAGCCAGGCGGCACTAAACCCCCTTCGGATATAAATCGGTAGAGAACCGTACAGCCTACGAGGCAAACTCAAAGGCAAATGCTTGATTATGCAAACAATTAATCCTGAACAGAGTTTATTATTCTATGCGACTTTAGTCTTCTGGCTTATTTCCTGACTTTTGTGAGTTTCTGAGGCTAAAAGTTTCTTCCTTGCCACTTAAGTTTCTCCGCTTTTGACCAGCATTAACCAACAAATTTGGCTCTCTGTCTTCATTAGGCTTGATTGTCTGAATTGTCTGGATTGTCTGAATCCTTTGTTTTAATCAATTTGTGAGTGACTTGCAAGTCTGGCCAAAGGAAGAGGAGATCTGGTGCAACCGGAAACACGCCATTCTGCAATCACATTAGCCCGGGATTCGGCTGTAGTTGTCCGGAAATTGCCAAAAGGGAACCGACGTCAGTCAGTCAGTCAGAGTCTGTTGGCCGGCAGCTGACCGCAGCATTAAAGCAACATTTGTTTTAACATTTCGACAAAAAAAGAGCAAGTCCACCGCCCACCGCAAAGTTGCTTTCGCAGAACACTGCTCGAAAATTTCAAACAATGCAACACAAATTGTCGAGAACCGCAGTTGCAAGCGCGGTTTTCGAGGTGCTGGGTCGCTCCAGAAGGCGGCTGCAAGTTCCGGGCCAGCCGACCGCAGTTCACAATAGTTGACCAATGCAATATTTTGACTTGGTCAGCACGGGAAAACACAACAATGCGAGGAAAAGAAAGGGCCACCCACACTCCAGTTCCTTCAGCTTTTCATCGAAGATAAAGTTGAGGCAGTTTGTTTTGGGAGCAGCGACTGGCAGCTTGTCATTTATTATGGTCTCAGTAATTATTAGTTTAAAGGATATTAAAGAATTTAACAAGCTTTACAATATTCTTTACTTTTCTTTACTTTTATGCTCAAATCCGTATAACATTTCTGCTTAACACGCTTTTCCTTGCCATTATTTACTATTTCTCTTTTTCCTTTTTGGAAATTTCCCCTTTTTTTGCAATCAGTATTTGAAATCCCATTTGCCTGTGGCTTTCAGTAATCAGTTTTGGACCAGGGCTATAAGCTTCATGCAGATAGACAGGCCAACAGCAACCACACAACCACTATTCAACCATTTTGGGGGAACAATTCCCCCGCATTTTGTGGCATGCGCAATGGTCTAGGTAGTCATTTTTAAATGCTTGAGCATTGTATAAAATTTGCATAAATTTCTTGCATAGTTTATTTAGCGTTTGGCATTGTTGTACTAGTGTTTTTGTTGGCCATTTTGCCATTTTTGCCCAATGCCCGCCCGCCCACTGACAAACACCGAGGCTAAATGATGCACACGCCCCCGAAATGTATGCTATACATGCACATAAAACGACAAGGATGATACTACATAGCTCTCTCTTGCTCTCTTTCTGACCATATTATAACTCAATTTCTGTGTGAGGCTTTTTTTCCAAACGACACAAAAACAAGGGGCTGCCTGGCAGGATGGCTGCGTGGCTGGCTGGCTGGTGATGCTGCATTTATATTCATATATGCGGCGTGGAAATGAATCGTGGACCTGGCAGCTCTCACCGCAGGATGTCCATTGGGGCGTTGTTCGGGTGGCGGCACAGGACCCTTGGACGGGGAAAAAGAAATAAACGCAAAAAAAAGAAAGAATAGGAGTCTGTGAAGCATGTGAACCAATTCAATCGCCGTCCTTTAATTTTCCCCAGATTTATTCCATGCCGAAAGAAATTTGCATGCTTTTTACGCGCATTAGCATAAGCACACAAAGACAGCCGCAGGAATCGAGGAAACAGGAAAGGGGTCTGGGCAGGAGCAGGAGCTGGAACAGGAGCAGGAGGAGGATGTATCTGTCGAATTGAAATCGGCTTTCGTTTGCAGCAATCCAATATGTCAAATCTGAAGCACGCTTCACAACAATTTTTTGTGAACGAAGGAGAGCAGCATGATGGCCCGGCCTGTTTATTCGTTTTTCTGTCAAATGTCAAGTGTCATGGCAATTTCTGTAGGGAGGGGGAGGGCTTACCCTTCCTCCTCCTTTGGGGAATCAAGTTGGCAGCCAACATTCGTCATCGATGGGTGCTCTGCTCATTTGTCCAAGCCGCGCGTTGAATGACATGTTTGCTTAGCCAACTGCAAGCCCACTCGGCCAAGGCAACCACCCATCATCCACCCACCAGCTGCCAGCCACCCACTTACCCTTTTAGCCTGACATGTTTCAATAACTAACTGTCCATATTGGTTCATTCAATTAATGTCAATAGAGTACGCTTCAGTGGCATTTATGCAACGGAATATCTGCATATCAGTATATCCTTGAGCCTGTTGTGGCAAGTCCTTCTAATTGCACAAAATGCAACTAATATCCAATGGTTAATCAGACGGCATGTAATTATTTCCGTTTGCTGGGCTCTCTCAATGGGAAATTGCCGTTCGATTTGATGTGGAATCGATGTCAATGTTGTATGTTATTTGTGGGTATCCGATTTCGGAAAATTAAATACTGGATAGGATTCTAATAGGGCTCTGAAATGGATATCGAGTTCATTATCTGTTGCTGGATAGGGCATTCCTTGAGGAGCCTTTAAAGCCTCTTCAATAGCCTCTAGCTAGTTCCTTGAAATTTATGAGCCCCAAATCCTTGGCACGCATTAATTCTAACCATTATCCTTTGCTGGATTCAAATGCAAATAAGTATCCTGGGAATCGCGCAATTTCAATGCATTCCCTGGGCGTTCTCTTCCGTTTGCCTTGCAAACCCGCATGTTTCATTAGCCCATCCGTCTTCCTTTCTGTAATTTGTGGGCTTTCAGCAATTAAAGGCGAATTGTAATGGTTTATATATAGAGAGGCAGTGCCTCGGGTACATTCATTACACCTTTTCGCAGGTGGCAGGCGGCAGTTCTGGGTGGTAGGTGGTGGGGTTAAATCCGCTTCGCTCTCTTCGCGGCTCTTTCTTTTGGATTTTGCCTGAAAATTGTTGCATACTTCTGTGGCTTTTGCCACTTGCCGGTGAATGCCTAGGTGGAAAGTTGGGGGAGAGGTTGGCAGCAACTGCTGCCACTTTAACGCGCCCACATACCATGCCTTGGCTCGTCCTTTCATCAGGATTCGCCGCCCACATGCGCAGCCCACTCAATTAACGCAACTCACAGGATGTTTGTTTGCATGTATTCGTAGTGTGTGTGTGTATTTGTCTTAACAACTCTTGCATACAACCCAAATGACTCTGGATCCGGAATCCTGAATCCTGAATCCAGGACCTGGGCTTCCTCCTTACCACCCACCCACCGACTCTCGCATAATTACTTTG